TCCTCCAATCCCGATGCCATGTTCTTCTCCATATAGTCCAGCTTGTCAGTTTATTTGCTCAGCGTGCAGATTGAATAAGTATGGTGAAAGGATACAACCCTGACACACTCCCTTCCTGATTTCAAAACCATGCAGTCCCCCTTGTTGATTCAGTATGTGAAGTTGAAACTGCGTCCTCCTGCCATGTAACTGACCTTGATCATCTGTCAGTTATTCTTAATTCCTTGGCTCATCTGCACATTTGTCCTTCATCCCCTGTGATATTGAGGGAGACCTCTTCTTTCACTGTCTGTGCCATACTTTCCTCTCAAATTCAGACTCTGCACCTCCCTGTGACGCTGGCTGGTGGTATGTGTGTGTGTGTATGTTTGCGTGCTTGTGTGCTCGACTTCCACAGCAGATCAATGATAATCTTGATTGGCAGCTGGTGTGACGTTTTAATCCACCCTAACAGGGGTACTTGACACCACCCATTGAAAGACTTTACCACAAAAGTCTTTGTGCTGTGTGGACCTGGGCAGGTATCTTGGCCTCTCTGTTTTGGTTTTTTCAAAATTGGCGCTAAGGTGACACCTTTGCCTCCCTGCCACAGGATGCTGTGGACATCTGTGGACTTTTGGGAGTGAAAAGTACTAGGACTTTACAGAGGAAGCTGGCATCATGGACCTGCCTCACTGTTGTTTCTCTCTTATCCTCACAGTGGCATTCAGCCAAGGAAGTGAAGGTGGATAAGGAGGTTTCCCCTGGAAGAGCCTTCTGGCCAGGCTGAGCCCTGCGTCAGGCCCTTCAGGGGCCCCACACTGTGTCCAAAGTATGTTTGTTCAACAGTCAGGTGCCAGGCCCCACTGTAGGTCCTAGAGACTCAGCAGTGAACAGGACAAAGCCCTGGCTCTTGGGATGGTAAACAGTTAGAAAAGGAACAGCCCCCACATTTTCCTGTCTTTTGTGCCCAGGGCATTTGGAAAAGTACAGGTCAGTTCCTTCATAGCCTGCTCTTCCGTTTAGGCTTCTCTGACGTTTCCACATGAGTGGTATGTTTTTGGCAAGAACACCGGAAAAGTGAGGCTCTGTTCTTCTCAGAGCATCATTCCAGAGAGCTCACAGTGCTGCTTTGTTTCATTCTTGGTGATGTTAACTTTGATCGCTTAGGTGAGGTGGGATCGGCTAAGTTTCCTTATTGTAAGGTTAGTGGGTGGCACAAATGGTTTCCTTGAGACTGTTCTCTGTCCCCTTACTGTTTTGAGGGCTCCACACTTCTTAGCTTATTAAACTTAAGAAAATCTCAGAAATAGGTAGAGATGGTTTTCCAAGGAAGAGCCCTAGTAAAATAATAACAAGAATAATAAATAGGACGTAAATATCCCTTGTATGTGGTCAACATACAATGGAATGCTATTGCACTTTGCTGCTTTGGATTTAAATAGAGTGGCGTGGAAATAGAGTAATGATGTTATTGTTAGGTGCTGTCGGGTCTGCTCCAACTCATAGCGATCCTAAGTACAACAGATCAAAACATTGCCCACAATCTTTGCGATGCTTCAGCTCCTCTTTGCAAAGTTTCAGTATGTAGAAGGTGCTGTTCTTTTGGTAAATAAAATATATACATAGCTTCCTATTTTTATGTAAAAATAGGAAAAGAAAGATAATAAGTGAAGTTATTGTTGGGTCTTGTGGTTTTTTTTGGAATTAAAAGTGTGTTTTCCTTTTGTGTGGTGGTGGCTTCTAATTGTTGGGTGTCTAATATTAACACAGCAGGTATGTGATTCCATTTATATAAACTACAGAACAGCAGTCATAATTATGGAATTAGGAATCAGTGTTGGTGGTGAGGGTAATGATTGAAGGGGACAAAAATAACAGTGCAACAAACAGCCACAACACCTTGGTGGCATGTGACACCAGATGTCGACATAGCTCACGAGTTTGCAGGCCCAGCTGGCCTGGGCTTGGCTGATCTTGGCTGGGCTTAACGAATGCATCTGAGCTCAGCTGCAGGCCAGCTTTGGAGCTTTGCCTATGTTGCTTCAGCTCACTCCCATGACCAGATGTTGGCCACCTGGAGCCTCAGATGGGACTATGGTGGTGCCTTCATTGTACTCCATTTATCATCCTCCTCCAACAGACTAGCTTGAGCATGGTCTCCAGGTGCTGGTCAAGGTGCAAAAGCTCAAGCGAAAGTAGAAGAAAGATGTTCTCAGACCTCTGCTTGCATTATCGTTGCTAATATCTTGTTGGCCAAAGCAAGTCACATGGTTGAGTCTAGAGTCCAAGGGCTGGGGTGGTGATGGAGGCATTGCAAGGTCACATAGATAGAGACAGGGGTGAAGACCTGGGGCTCTTGATGCAATCAGGCCTACACACTCAGCAGCAGCATTTTTAGTGATTATCTAATACTTCATTGCATTGATACCCTATAATTTATGTAACGAGCTCAGTACAGCTGATCAGAGTTGCTGATCAAAGTGGTGCAAGCGGTTAATGTGCTTGGCTCCTAACCAGAAGGTGAGAGGTTCAAGTCCACCCAGATACCCTGGAAGAAAGGCTTGGTGCTCTGCCACTTCTGAAAAATCAGCCATTTAAAGCCTGTGGAGCAAGGTTCTGTTCTGACACTCAGGGGTCACCAGGGGTCACAGCTGACTTAGTGACATTTGGCAACTGGTAAAGCTGAATAGTAAGGTCAGAATTTCCAAAGTGTATTTCAAGGAATTGTAAGCCCTGCAGGAATTTAATTGGTTTTTGTTCCCTCCCCTGGGGGAAGGGAGAGAAAGGAAGGTATGAACAAATTTGGGAATCATTGGGTTCAATGAAGAAAAAAAAATTCTTTATTGCAGAACTTACCAGAGCCTTTACGTGCAAATGTGTGTTACAAACTTCCAGAAGTCTGGGGAATTTCTGAATCATAGTTGTCGATTGAATTGTGTCCACCCCCTTCCCTCAAAACATGCGTCATCTTGACTGGGCCATGATTCTCAGTGGTTTGGAAGTTATGTTGTGATGTGAATTTGGAGTTATGTAATGATGGAATCGGGAGCTCTGATAGCATAGTGGCTAAAGCACTTGACTGCTCACCAGAAGGCTGGCAGTTCAAACCCACCAGCCACTCCT